TATATAGCATATATATATATATATAGAGTATCATATATATACGCTATATATAATACTGTATATTATATTTATAGTAGGTTCTACTATAGTCCTCGCCGTATATAGTATATACACTATATATAATGACAATAGATATATGACTCGCATGTTGAATATGTATAGTGGTATAATATATAGTTACTTTATATATATATATATATATATATAATTATATATATATGTAGGTGTATGGTATTGTATGTATGTATATATGTATATATATAATATATATATATATAGTATAATATGTATTACATATATACATCTGTGTGGTGGTATCTATCTATCTATCTATCTATTTTTTCCGGGGTATATCAATGTATGTATAGCTGGTAGTTTATATCGTATCGAATGATACTATATGCAATTGTTATAAAAGTATAATTACATAATCATAGTATATATTATAATTATATTACATATATATAATATTATATATATAAATTAATACGTTCTATATATAGATATATTATATATATAGTATATATGATTGGTGTGTGTGTGCTGTGTAATGGTATATATAATATGATAGTATAATTATAATGGTACTAGTAAGTATATATATATATAATATATGTATATATAGTAGATGTATAGTATATGTATATAGAGTATATAATATTCAGATTTAGGCTGCTGTCAATATATAGTAGGTGAATATATATGTATTAGATGTACCAATATACTGATATTATTATAGGGCTACATATTAATTATACGGAGAGAGATTCGATATTGTATGTATGTGTTATCTATGTATAGGAATATATTGGATATATATATGCATATATATGTGTGTGTGTGTGTGTGTGTGTGTGTGTGTGTGTGTGTGGTGTTGTGTGTGTGTGTGTTGTGTGGTGTGTGTGGTGTGCTGTAATGTGTGTGTGTGTTCAATAGTGATGGCGTGTGTTTCTTTGGGGGCGGTGTAAGCACCCAAACGCAAGACACTACACAGCACCAACACAGTGGATTGGTGCGGCGTTCGTTGGTTACACACACAGATAGAGACACACACTAAGCACACACACACATGACAACACCATACACAGCACACGACACACTATCATCGACCAGTTAGAGCAGACGCATCACAGCGCACACACGACCAGCCGAACGTGCTCGACGCGGATGTCACCAGTGGGCCACACACACACAATGGATGGCAACACACACACACACTCACGGCATATACACCACACACAGTCACACACACACACGCACGACACACACACACGCACCACACCATAACATACACATACACACACACACACACCACACGCACACATACAGGCTCACACATTATATGCCATATATATATCAATATTATTTAGTACATAGTGGGTATAACATACCATATATATATATAGTATAGTATTAGTAGCGGCGTATATGTATATATATAGTAGTGCTATACCATATGAACAATATATTTATATTTATGTATATTTTATAAGATATAGTATATAGACTTATAGATATGTATATATACTTAGGTATATTTAGTATATTATATTATGTATATATGGCATATATATGACGTATATATTAATATATAGTACGTAATAGTATTTATTTATGAGTATGTATTAACTATATAGGAATATTTATTAATATATGTCATATATAATATATAGTATATATATATGCTGTATCGATGTATAATATGTATATATATTATATACTAGAGCTTATATATATCATGCACAACACATAACTCTTACAGCAGACACACACACACACAACCCACCAGCACACACACATGGTTAACATATGTATTACACACACACATCCAACACACACACACCCACACACACCACATGCACACGGAGATTTACTGGAGAATAGTGTGTACACACATGCACATGTAGTGTACGGTTTCCAGGCGCCCACTCTTGACTCCGCCGCCCGCCACGACTCCCGCGTTCCTTCCCCGTCCGCACGGTGGGCATCAATTGATTTTAGGTGAAGCCGATGAGGTTTTAGCCGATCACGTCTCAGTATGATATTTCAGCATAGGTAATCTACAGTATCACTGAAGGTGTCGTTGCACTGATCTGTCCTTAACTAAGTATCGGTCCTCGCCGGGGTCTCAGAGCCGCGCCAGCTTGTCTCCCTCGAGCCACTTATGTGCCGCGGGCTTAGGCTATTTTATTTCTCGTCTTAATTCCGAGGTTCATTGCCTTGACGCGCGTTTGATTGACGTCTCGCTCGATTGTTATGTTTACGCACGCTTGTAAAGCCACTTGTTGCGTGGGCGTGGGCGTGGGCGTGTGTGCGTGCGTGTGCGTATGTGTGTGGGTGTGTGTGTGTGCGGTGTGGTGTGTGTGTGTGTGTGTGGTGTGCGTGTGTGTGTGTGTGTGTGTGTGTGTGTGGTGTTGTGTGTGTGTGTGTGTGTGTGTGTGGTGTGTGTGTGTGTGTGTGTGTGTGTGTGTGTGTGTGTGTGTGTTGTGTGTGTGTGTGC